TAGTATGTAGGCTTTCTGTGAATTGCTTAGATGTATAATGGCTCATTCCAGTAGCAGAAGTGACACGCTTAATTAAAACGATATATGTTGAATCCTTTTAGCCGAGTCGTAACGACACCCTTTGTTGGGTTATTAGGGTGCATATCATAATGTTTCTCAATCGATATGCCTTTTTGTTCGAGTTCTGCTTTTGAAGGTTTACATTTAGACATTTTTTTCCGTTTTTGACAATTCATTAAATGAAAGTGTAAGTCTGTTTTTTAGAGGAAACACGATATGGGCATCTCAAACATACAATTAACGGATACGATGCGGTCTGCCTTTGCTGACAGTAGTGCGTAATAATATTTTCACGGCACGTTCCATTGATATTTCTGGTATCGTCAGATTTTTTATCATCAAGCATTCGACCTCGATCAATATGTGAGGGTAATACAAAATCATACCAATGTTTGACGCGGGAAATAGACAAGTAACGTCGGAGTTAGAGTGTCATAATTTAATAACAATGAATCCGAGCTAAATTTGAAAGCATTGAGTGGTGTTGTGGTATAGGGTGTCACGTGTTCTCGTGGAAGTAATACACTCAAATTAAAGTCGTGTTTCTCAAATATCTCTCGAATTCGTTTGATTTAGATGTTATGTTTTCACTTCGTTGGTTTGTGTTGTGTTGTGTCGTGTGCTTCTTGACTGAGACGAACACCGTATATATGCCGTATGATGCATATAAATATAAAACATCTCGTTTCGAATTACCGATACTAATGTTTTCCTCAGTTCTTATTACTTGTACTTAATATGTAACACAGAAATCGTGTCTAAATTATCACAACAGTTAGTGAAATAATTGAATTTACAGATATTCAAAAATGGCAGCGTGGTCTACTCGTCATACCTAAAGGGTACGTTGCTAGGCAATTGTCAAGAGGATAAAACCATTTTAAAAAGAAGAAACAATAATTGGTGAGTTACTTTGTGCCAATTGAGTCTCAGTATAAGTGTAGTTCCTACGCAAATGTTTAATAGATATGCAGTACGTCACATTTCATACAAACTCCGAAAGGTTATCTCTCCTTTCCATCTGTTACAATTGCACTGTTATTCAATGATTACACTGACGACGCGATATTATTCTCGAAATATGACCTAAATAAAAGAAAATGACAAATGTCGAATTTATTATTAATTTTTTTATTAATTTAAAAAAAAGAAAACGAAGATAGCATCATCACGAGTCGGTAGGACGACGTGATGAAACACGCTTTCGAGTTGCCAATGGGAATTGCAACGCCGTCCAACGACCGATAAATAGTTTTTCACATCCAGATTATTTTCCCGCCAAAGCTTTAGCGCAAATGTCCAAATGATTTCTATAAACCAAATGCCAATAGTTTCAGTAGCAATCCCGAGACAATTGGGACGTTGTCTTCACATTATATCAATGAAAGACAATATTTTTAACGGGGACTATTATATAGCAGGTCAAGAAATTAGGCGATTAATCGCATGCTCAGGCACCCTGGTTGGGAATGTCTGGTTTAAAATTATTTGAAAAAGATGCACTCCAGCAGGCATGTATTTGAATCAGAACATACTTGACAATATTTTTCAAGTGATTCGAGAGGATCATCGCGACACGCCTCGGTTCGCCTCCGCCGCAGTCGGTTCATTCGCTTCGAATTTGCTACTTTTTGAAGAAGTCTGACACATCGTTTCATTTATGCGACAACTTGTGACCTCTAATTTCCGGTTTATAATTTGGAACTAATAACGGTTTCTAAATTGATACAGTTTAAAAACTTGAAAATGATTGAATTTGGTACTTTCCGTGAAAAACAATGTGTGAATCTTCCCGAGTCTCAGTTAATGCAAACATTCATTTTTTTTTAAAAAAAACTAAAAATTATCAACAGCATATCGAAGTAAGAAAATATATTTAATGCTTGTTTTGGCATTTGAGTTCGTGTTGATCCGCCCGCATTGCCGGTTTGTTGTTTTGTTTCAAACCGAACAGATTGCGGCATTTCATGGAACAAATCAAGCACAAAAATAAAGGCAACACGATCATTAGTGCGACGATGAGCGATCGGATGGCTGATATGAAATGACGGCAAACACGGGGACCGCTTCATCAAAAAATAAGAACGGCGAAATTCTGATTGGAGATTAACGACGATTTAGTTGGTTGATGGGAGAGGGGCGTCCGATCGGGGTGGCGATAAAAACGGCTCGATGCAAATTTGAGGCGATAAATTAGAGTCAGTAGTCGACATATGTGATATGCAGCCTGTCTCTCGCTATAAAGAGATGCATTTTTACTTGTTTCTATATATCACACAAATCCCCGAGAGATTTGCTTGGACATCTCTACTGACGACTATTTATTACAGCCCCGGAATAAATGTCTATTCTGCCCGTTGAGAGTACAGCAACTCGGTCTGCTCGAACCGTTCCGAAGTGTTGTCTTCACCGCGGTCAGCTATTAGTAGTCAGCGCGTGTAGGCAGATCAGTACTTCTCCTAATCCCCTCCGTAATGCCATCCCAATCAACCAAACTCCAAGACTATTAAGTTAGCTGAACCGTGCTCGTCCTTATCAAAACGAGACTACGGTTGAATTCTCAGCTTGAATTTGCTCTGAGCTCCCATAAGATTACTGACTAAGGCGGGGTTTTATCCTGTAAGGAACGGAACAGTGTCGTTTACCGAGATTTCGCTCAATACCCCACAATCTACCTTAATACAATTAGTCTTAGCTATAACTAGTCCCGACTTTATTTTCCATAATATAAAAAGTTAATTGATTTCTGACAGTCTAGGGCAATGACACTTAAAACCATGATAGTTTTAAGTATATAGTTTGGTTTTAAGCGTTCCTACTTCGAAATCACACATTCTCACTTTAACTATTTCTATATATATTTCAGGTGAAAATACAATATTATAAAATAACAATAACAGTTCCAAATATGCATAGATAACTTAGTGCGATTCAATCTGGTTCGTCCAAACATGGTGTAATTGACCTTTGGCCGTTTACACAATTAATCAGAAATGGGTCTTCTTTTATTTTCGGATTTACCAGAATAACGGTAGTTGCCAAGTAGTGTTATTTCGATCAGGGCTTTATCGAGACAGTCATGGTTGTATCGTATATACGACTTGATTCTGTGTTGGCAGCCATAAAATTTAGGCTAACAACAAGGAGGCAACAATATCAAAATATGTTTGGAGTTTCTTGTAACAGTTAAACGTAAACACGTACTACACACCACACCGGAATAAACATACAATAAAACGTTCTGATTGGAGTACTAGTAATTAACAAATAAAGGGTTTTATTTAATTTGCACACACGTCGTACATGACACATAGTAAGAGAAAAGAGCTAATGTGAGCACACCGAGCCTTATATAACTATAACGAAACAGAATAAGGTGACAAAATTTTCAGTAAAATGTAGTTGAATAAATTATCAAACGGAGTAATTAGTAATTAGCGTTAAACTAATCAGATTCGTTTTGTTTCAACGTACATAATAGTCGGCGGTGATATTATCCCAACCACACATCCTCTCGCTGCTCCAGATCCCGGATACGGTATTCAGACTGTCGTTTGAATTGCGTAAATACGTGATAACATTCACCTCTGAACAATTGCACAGATTTGATGTGTCAATTATTAAATTAGTAGGAAATTGTTTTTCCAATGTGTTGGTTGCTGCTATGTAGAGTTCCAGCAATGTTAGCTTGCCTCAAGTTAAGATATTCACATCGGCATCAAACTTGAAATGCGATTCCTGCTAACACTGGTGTCCACAAAAACTAAATATATCATTACATCTTGTGCTTTAAATTAGAAAACTGTCGATTTTAACACTAATTTTGTCACGTGATTGTACTTCTGATAATAAATATAGATATCTATCTGAAATTAACAGCTAAGAAATTTCGTTAATTTTCGAAAAAGAATGACTCAAGTGAAAAATATTTTAAAATACACATAATCTTCTTTAAAACATAATATTCGTTTGTAGTAACAAAATAAATTAAATCAATAGCAATTATACTTTTATTTAAATGAGCAAATATTCTTTTAAAACGCACCAGGTTTGTCAGCCGTGTTCAATTCGCTGTCGGATAAATGATAAATATATAGACTGAAAATGAGCAATGACAAAAATTAGAATTTCCCCGTCATCTTAAAATGTGCAAGTTACCCTTCTCCAGATTCAATAATAATTTGGAACCAAATGAAGAGCATATTGTGTTTTTGTTCATTTTAACAGAGAAAAGTTATTTTCTATCAACATTCTGTATTTTAATAAGTACACACTTTGACAACGGCCGTGAAACGAATTAAAACTACCCAACCTTCTTTTAGGCTGTGAACGGCGCATAACACTACAACCAACGTTCATTGTTTTAAAGACTAGTCCCAAGCACTCATACAGCATAATTATAGTCTTAATATTAAATAAATATAAAATGGCATTTAAAATTCGTTGTCTGTAATCATACTACGGAAATTGTCAGTAATGACGATTAGTCAGAACGAGGTGGTGACAGTGTGTCTGCATAATTATGTTATTAATATTGCACGAACGATTTCAAATGTTTTCTCCAATGGTTAATAAAAGCAATTCTGAGAATTTAAAATAGAAAACAGTGCATGGATAAACATTAAAAGTTCAATCTGTAAGCGGTGTATGGCAAGCATCATCAACATGTGGAGGGAATACTCGGAAAGTGGTAGTGAGAATTGTTGAAAATACGGATGACGCTAAGTTTCACTACCATTCGTGTTTACGAAGCTAAGATGCAAACAGTTCCTATATGGTTCAGATAGAACGCGAATGTCATTCCATCACGCAATAATAGCAGATTGTTAAAATGGATCTGGTTGAATTTCGTCTTTCCAATAACGAGGAACTTCCAAAATGGTGGTTTCTCTTCACATCGTACGAACCTACCTGCCATGAGCGGAACATATAGAACACTGATTGTTTTCATGGGAACACAAATATGAAATATACTGTTTCGGAAATACGTTTATTTGAAGAAAAAACAAATGCATCGGCATTTAGTTCTCCGCCTTTGCTTAGCACAGTGTCTCTGTCTGTTCGTCTCTTTAAGTTTCTTCAACCAAGATTATGTATGTCCCCACACAACTTGTCAAATGGCTGGATATGTCATTCGATGAGTTCATGCATATTGGCAAGCCGACAACGTCGGGTTTTGTCTGGCAACTGGGTAACTCAGTGTTGGCTGTTTCGCCATGTTAGCTTTCAACCGAAGCGACGCAATGCTGCTGGAACACTGGTCTCGATAAACGTAAGGTGGGGCACTGGTACCGTACGGACACGACGTCGATGCGTTGTTGAAAGTGTTCAGATTGCTTCCCACGCCGTTCATTGTTGGTAGACTTGTGGTCATATTGGCAGCATTCGCTGACTGGTTTCCGAAACACATGGATTGACTTGATAGTGGATTGACATTCATAGAGTTGAGTGCCCATGGAAACCCCTTTGAACCAAGTGGGCTTGGGGCCTTTGTCACCCAGTTGTTTGGGTGATATGAATACCCTGTGGAGTAGAGTCCGTCATCAAAGGGTGTCATCATCCCGTAATGACCGTGACTGAATTGGTGCTTATACTCATTCAGTTGGTTTCTTTCCCGCTTTCGCCACTTTGCGCGTCGGTTCTTAAACCAAACCTGGAACGGTAAAGAAGAGTGTCGTTAGAAACAAGATATTTGCATTTTCACTGAAAAAAAACACACATTTAGAATCATTTTACATGTAATAAATACAGTAATTAATTGCGGCCATTTCAATCTAAGAGAAAAGTGCATATTTTATGATGTTAAGTAATTAAGATTGGGATTGGACAACGAATTCCCAACACTTAAATAGTGCAAGTGTTGGGGAATGAAGTTAAAAATAACAAGGAGGTTGGACACGGCGACGATTCAATATCAATTTAATGCTGTTTGTTGGTGCCGACGTTGAATTTATCGGGTATTGTCATGCGTATTAATGACGTTAATCATGCCATTCCAGCTCATTGTCTCATTTTGGTGTTTTTAATTTAAATTAAAATGACAACACGGCGTAATTACGAGGATGAATTACTGCCGTGATTAACCAATTATAATGGTGCTTGCAAATATTCGGGATAAATGTCTGATAAACTTCCCAATCATGTGATTCATTTTCAGAGTCTTATAAAGAGTTTCAGTTTTGTTGGCAAGCTGTCATAATCCCTTTTATAGAGGTAAATCTTATATCCACTAATTGACTAATTCAAGCACATGGTAAATCTCTAAACATTATTTACAAACCGTTTTCGTTGTTGCGAATAATCCGATTTTAGCATTTAGTTACTGTTACAAATAAACACTTGTCCACTGCAGACGGTTCGGGTAAAACCGCGTACTTATCTGTCTCTTGAAGCCGACTGAATCGAAATCTATGGCATCAGTTTGAAAGACATGCGTGCTGATTACTAGGATTGTTATGTGGGTTGTATTAGTGTTTACTTTGGGGTAAGTTGAAGAGAACGTGTGCACAGTTTGGGGGATAAAGCACCGGGATTTACTATTGTTTTGCGAAGACGTTACAACTTCATTAATAGAATATCTCACGGACATTAGAAACGAATTTGTAACACATTGTGCGCTGTGCTTTCATGGAATGGCTAGTCATGTGTATGCTCCTTATTTGGCTTTCAGAACTTCCATCAATCAAACCCTATCTTGTATCCCTTTGACAAGCAACCAACCGTCGTCGTTTTCTCTTCGTATATTTTTGTTACCAGATGGAACAATTTTGTTGTTATAGCCGTGTATATTTCATGGTTTTGTAAACATTTCTGTTGAATTTAAAGATAGATCAATACACGGACTCCGAAGAAGGTACATTGTATATTTTAAATGTTGAATAACGCCATCATAATTCAAAAACCGCACATCATAATTTTAAATTATTTAGAAGTGACATTTGTCAAAAAACATTGAGTTGGGGATCCTAACCAGTATAACATTCAAACTGAGAGCCAAATACCCCCCCCCCCACACACACACACACATACTCCTCCTCGTCATCACGACTTCCATGGCAGTAAATGAATTTACTCTGTCGCTGATCCCCTCAAATACAACTGAAACCATGTCTTGGAATGATTGAATGAGAGCACTTTCTGATCTCAATTCGGGAACAATAATACTACAATAAAACAGCACTTCAAACTCAGAACGCAAATCGCTACAGATGAATTATTAATATACTTAATCCCGCGAAATATTCGGCGTGATACCGTAATGATGACACGGATGTAAGCCCCTGCAAGATGAAGGCCGTAGAATAGCTAGTTAGTGTCATCAACGTCCATAATAGTTTTTTTTCTTATCTTCAATTAAGCGAGAGCAAAAGTGACCTTCCATGTAAGTTTAGTTTTGCTTTCAGGTGCGATCTCTGAAAGCATAATTTTGTTGATTCCCGCAAATGCTGTATTTATTATTACAAAAATAGCACACGCTAAAATAAAATCGTAATTTTTTTGGAAGAGGCAGTAAAATTTTGACGACCCTGGATTTTGTGATACAATCTGACCAAGGTATCGGTACTTGAAGGAAGTCTAGATATTTGAAATGAGTATCATTAAATATGTAAGAATATCTGGCCAACATGTGTGTTTCTCTGTCTCCCCAATGTAATGATCAATATTGAAAGGCAGAGTGAGTCGCCGTCCCTAACGTAAATCACATATAACGGAGGCAACAGCTCAAGCGTGGCTGACTTCCATACTAACAGAACCGTCATCAAGCCATTAGTACCCCATCATGCAACTTATCTATACACTGACCAAATTAGAACTTATTTTTTTCTTTATTTCGCGCTGTCTGTGTTTCCAATGATCGATATGGACACTAGAAATCTATACACTTATCGCATGCGTGCCAGGTCCACGTTTGTATTTCTACCTATTTATCAGGAAATCGGAGAAAATCAACGATGCTTCGACTTTTGCGAAACAGATGCAACATCGGTTATTAGTACAAGGACGCTATTTAGGAATCATAGGCCCGTTGACATCATTACAAGTATCGCCGTCATTTTCCCGACTCATTTTTCTCTTTATTGTGTTTTAATTCGCCTAAAGCTGGACAAAGCCATACGCTGGTGCATGTTCTATTCTGCGCTGTATGCTTGCAATTCCCGGTTACACAGACCGCTAACCGCCTGGAAAACCCATAGCCGAGGGCTAGGAATATAGAAACTGAGTTTTGAAAAGAAATGCTGTGATATTGTAGCGATCCTTTTATTGAGGTGATAGGCTATTATCCCCGCCCCTTTTGGCAATTTGCGGGGCCTCCGTGTGATTTCTAATTTGGGTTCAATGACGCGAGCTCGAGTAACAACTGAAGCGTTCTCTGTGTTATCGATAGTGTGACCAAATAAGTCAACATATTCACCTGCTTTGTTGTTCGTTGCTCTCATTTCTTAATAACAAAACCCCTCAGAGGAAGTGAAATTCCCGACTCAAATATTGAGTCAGCGCTCTTAATTTTCAGCCTGAGCTCAGGAGCATTCGAGCTTCATTAAGACCGCCTTTTCGATGTCTATATCTGTTGATCGCGTCGTTTGTCTTGGCCAGCGTTGCGTGACGTTTCATTAATGCCTCATCGAATTCCCACCACTTCGAAATCAAAACTTTCCAATAAAATAAAACGCGCCAAGAAGGAAATTGGTCAAATATACTTGAAGATAATACAATTTCGAGTCATATAACAAAAAAATCTAGAAAATAAAAGTAAAATTGGCTTCACCTACGTAAAACACCGTAAGATAAAGCTGCACGTAAATCAAAACATAGATATTTTGATCGGGGAATTCGATTATCGTGTAGGGGCGATACAGTCATGATTACACTGGCCATGCATGGCGGCGCGGAAAATCATATTTATAGAGGAATGGGGACTTGGGAGACCGATACAGGTTTGACAATTCTTCCAAATTCATCGGTAGATTTACTGATAAATCCACATAAAAGTCGAGCTAAAGCTTTTGGATAAAAGTTGACTTAATTTGAAGCTTTCGTTAGGACTTTCTCATACAACATCGCATGATGTTAACAAATGAGATTACGCATAGCCAGGTTTTGTTCGGGATTTATTTTAATCTTCCGACTTCGGCTACAGAAGATAGCGAATTAATATGGGTATGAAAACAAAACTTTCGGAGTAGTTTCAAACTACGAAACATGTTTCATACTGTCAATACTTAAAACACTGTCTACTACTGTTTAATTTGTTTTTGTTTCAAACTTGATATGTATGTTTTGTTTTGTTTTAATGAACATACATTGTCATGTACATTTCCACAACGATTATTTTTTTAATTAAGTTATTATATGTTATGAAAACATTGAAACAATAGTTTAATCATTAGAAATGTGATAAAACGAGAGGCTACTTTTAATCGAATTGCAATAATTTGCATTTTGCATCATGATTAGAGATTGTGCTTTAATGCGTGCATTATTGGTGCGTGCTGTGCCTCTATAGAAAAAAACAAGAATCTGAGAGCATTTATTCTACTTACAATGTCATAGCGCTATCTGAAGTCGAGTGTGCGATGAAGTTATTTTTTCGATAACACTTGAATTGAAAATTGTCTTTCACCGAGAAAAACAGGTTTATGTTAGTTATAGGTGAAACGTAGAGAACATCTCTGACCAAGTAACAAGTGGAGCGCCTCGTCGTCATTATTACACACATTAACTCGGGAGAGTGAAAAGTTGTTCTAATTTTCAATTTACGCTGCCGTCATTCAGGGAGCTACGTGCCGTCAACATCTGCCACCTCTGCCTGAATGCATCCATCACCCGTTGATGAAATCTCTCAACAAAAGGGCTAAAATGGTTTTGCAAATTTTCTATTTTCTCTCCCCTTTAATTTAAAATTAAACAAAACTCGTATTATTTTCATATTAGCAGTGGAATGGCCTTAACTGCAAAACTGCGACGCGCGCAGACACCCATCATCAGATACCCCGGCAAACCACTATGCTCGTGCGACGCGCGCAGACACCCATCATCAGATACCCCGGCAAACCACTATGTCCGTCATGTCTCTGCAGTATATACTCGAATGATCTAAGTTTACTGTTTTACTCTAATCAACCCGAATTTAAAAATTAGAGTAGGGAAAAGATGTAGGCTTAAATCCAAACAAATTTTGGAATTCGTAAAAAAAATCAAAGTATAATTTTGATTGTTTAGATTACTTCAAATTCAACATTACGGTGAGTTTATTCTAGAAATGAAGCGAATTGCATGTTTGTCTATTTGGTAATACTAACAATTACATGCACCTGCGAGGGGAGTATAGAACTCAAAGGACATTATTACTTGTAATATAAACATGTAATTTTCATCAGGTTTAATTACCATGGTAACTCCCTAATGCCGTGGTGACACTTTATCGAATTTGCTAGAATTGACAAGAGTATCTCTTATCGTTGCCAACCATCAGGATATCGTTTTTTCACATCTAGCGAGAAGTATATATTCCCCCTGTCAGTAAATATGTTCCCAAGTCGAAGCTCGTCATAAAGTCGTTTGATGGGTAGCTCAATATTTTAGTCATCGTATCGTTTACTGTCAATGTACATGTATTTACAATTATTAACCAATTTCGTAAACACGTAAAAAGGAAATTCGTTTTATTGATCGCCTGCACTTACTAAAGTTATTCTTTATTTTGATTTTTCATATTCGGTTCAACTGTTATGGTACTCTTTAATATGAGGCCATTTACTGACGTAATATTGACGGCGTTTCGACACATAATCACAATAATCATATTTATTTTTAAAAATGAACATAACTTACTCTAACTCGCTGTTCGGTTAGGTTTGTCCAGGCTGAAATCTCTTCTCTTGTAGACATATCAGGATACCGATTTCTAGCAAAATGGGCTTCGAGTTCTTGTAGTTGTTGACTCGTAAAGTGCGTTCTCTGCCTTCGCTGACGCCGATTGCTCCTCTTTCTAAGGTCGTCCTCTGGGCCATTGTCTTCGTTTGTCGATGCTCTGGTCTCCGAAGAGTCTACATAATATTGGAATAAAAATTTTAAAAAAATATTTATTTTTGTTCAGTCTGGGCGAATGAGATGAGTCGATGTGAAATACTATGGAAGTGTAGAACGTCCAGAATAAAAAAAAAAGAATCATAATTCTGATTTTCTTTAATTTAGTAGAATCCGAGTAAATGAAAATTACAGCAAAATTTAAGTTTGTATAAGTAACTTGGGTAACCTTTTTGGTATATTTGTAATTGTGATATCGTTGCCGAAATAAAAATGCTGCGAGCCCGGTAGGTGAATAACGCCGAAGCCGTTATGTTTTCCGTCTAATGACACGTGCTAAAATTTCACTGAAAATGTCAATTAAATTGGTCATTTTTAGGGAGTTCTGTATATAATCAGTAACTGTTTCTTGTTCAAACGTGTATACAGCAAATCGTGTTTACTTGGTTTTAAGAACACATGTTGGCAAGAAATGCAAACATACGTTGTGAGTAATATCCCGCTTTACCCAAAAATGTTTTATCATCAAGTACCTGCAGTTAGCTATATTGAATAAAAAATCGTTTATTTTTTGTTTACCGTTAATTGTATTATCACCCTATATTTAGCTATTTAATGGGTCAATCATTCTACTAGCGCGTTCACTATTTAAACTGGGTATCTTTGGTTGAAAACACAGTGTATTGTGTGCGTGGATCATGTCAAGTGTCTCTCTTAGTATAGAATTTGGGAGCTGACTTATACTGCCACTACATGATGTAGGATAATTTGCACCGATTACAACTGTGAAGAATTCAATGCAAGAGGAAATCCGGACTACTTAGAAAAGAATACAACGCATAGACAAAGTGAATTGTACCGACAATTCTTTGTATTTTTATTGCCCGACTGACAATGGGGCGGTGCGTGCTCGTGGAGGTTCACAGAATCAATGTGGCATCTTCAAACGAGAAAGACGCGTGGCCGATGACATGATCAGTGGTTCGCATAAGCGCGAGAACTTTACGTGGTCGGCAATCGGTCGGTCGGTTCGTAGGTGTGGTAACAGGTGTAGCCGTCAAATAGTCCACTCGGCAGTGGATAGGTACACAAACACTGATTGTGATAAACGAACATTGGGTGATTGAATATATGGTTGTGACAATAACGACAGATATGTATTGGAAGATAAATATATCCCCATATTTTAAAACAGTTTCAGACAATTTTTTTTTCAAATTTCTACCGATAAACTTTGATTACTTCTCACACACATCGCGATAAATAACACCCAATTATGGTTATCGGGGGGGGGGGGGATTCGTCCCCCAATGAGACCCAAATTACCCCTAACAGCAATAAACGTCATAACAGTTTTAACAATAGTGTTTTTATGGTGGTACAATATCGAATTTTGACTTTAAATTGCACAAGCAGTGTCCGGGGAATCGTCACAACGTCCCGAACTCGCAATTAAAGGCACAACAATACAGTTAATGAAAAAATCGCCCGCGTTCGGAAAAGTTAATTTGCCACATATCTTTTCCAATTTAGACATCGATATGAAGGGGAGGGCGTTAATATTTGGTGAATAAGACCCGTTAATAAAAAAAATATATAGCGACTGCATAAACCGGCAATACCGATATGAAGTAAATATAGAACACGTTAAGAATAAGGTTCGAAGTGTAGAGGGACTGTACACACTACCTATATGATCGGCGTTGCTGTCCGCCCTGCTGCAGGTAGTCGATGCGCTGGACGTCCTCTCTGTTGCTGTGGAGGTAGTCCCAGCTGAGGTCTGAATGGACTGTATCTCTGCCATGCCAACTTGACTGTGAGTTGTATCACCACTGACTAGCTCTTCAAGAGTCGTCAGGGAATGGTCGTTTAGTCCAACTTCCATGCTAACTTATCAATTAGGACAGATTATCTGTTTCACCCGCGTTCCAAGTTTCTGAGTCGGTGGGCGGTGGAGTTGTAAGGCGAAGTTAAGCCTAGCATAGGTCTGTGGATTGTCCGGCTTAGGTGTGTGTTGGTCGCCACTAAATCACCACGCTCTTGCTGGGACTCACGAGTGTTAAGTGTAATACCGCTCCGTCTTCTGTCCTACACCGTTGTGTTTGCAAGCAGCTTAATGTGAGACTTGTACCATGCGCGGGTTTGCTAAAACTCACCCTCTCTTGTCACCTTTGAGCGTGGTGACGTCACTACAGGGAGACCATTATATCCGTAATGCACGCGGCAAACCAATCAGCGGCGCTGTCATGCCAGAGAAGTTATGCCTTTAGTCCTTGTGTGGCGTTTGTTTGGCAAGAAATCATGTTCGAAACACCGCCCCCAGTACTCGCTTGAATAACGATGAAGGAGGGAACAAATCCCTCGACAGAATCTCAGATTGTTAATTCAACATAATAACGAAGCTTACCACCCCAAATCGGGAAAAATCACACACAATTTAATTGTGCTCCGAAAAGAAATCCCGGCGCGCAGTACTTATCTGTCGGGTGCTTAAGTGGGATTCGAAGGAAAAACGAATTGTTAGACGCGGTAGAAACTACGTCTTAAGAACGTACGGCAGAAATAAAAACGCGACATGAAGTATAAGCGATCAAAAGCACCTGTCTATGTGCTGCATATGACAAGCTTTTTAGGTTCAGTTATACTAGCAAGGATAATCCTTCTTTGATTCCGACAAAAAACTGCTCTCAACGATTAGAATTCAAGAGTCGATAGCAACCACCCACTAAAAGATCTGCAACTGTATCAGTCGGATCAAGGCCTCAGTAAACTGCCATTAAGTCTTTAAACCAGTTTCAAGGCATGGAGGCATGTTCTTGACAGCTAATAGTGGCTTCGAGATAATTCCCATCTTTTTCAAAAAAATCGAATACAGTTTTTATTAAATAATGCCTGAAACGAATACGACAGGAACAGTTGCGAGACTTGACATCCAATAACTGTTGCCACGCTCATAGTTTAAAATTACGGTGCGTATACAGCCTATTGTATGAGCTCTGTTTTATCGCTGCTTTAACAAGTTATCGATAAATAAATCCAGTTTATACATCATCTGAAACGTAAACTGCAGTCTCGTCTCAGTATATTTCATGAAGAAAATCTTACAAAATTATGTACTACTTTTTCTAACCAGTTACAAATATCGCGATGATATGAGGTGTTGTACAATGGCCATTAAAACATAAGTGATGGCATGGACTCTATATGCTGCTTCACGCATTTGAACAAATCAAGTTATACTAGTAAAATGCGATTTGATATAGTAATTATTATTGTGTATACGCGTGAATTGAACATTAGTAATGCGCGGTGATGGAGATAGATGCACAATCGTATTGGCCGCCGTGCCTCGATCCCACCAACACACATGCATCAGCACGCATCATGACTGACACGTTTGCATCGCGACGGTCTGCGTAGTTGGGGCAGCGAAGACAAATCACAGGGAGGTAGGAATTATACTTTAAGTCACCGTCCCTCAAGTATACTTGTATATGTTATTTTGATTAGAAGGATAGCTGTTGGGGCGGCGTATGTTATTAGTACTTACGACTGTGCTCTGTTCTCGACATGGTTTCCTTTGGCCGTAACAAAATAGAGATAGAGAAAAATTAGAGAGTCAGGAAGGGAAATGATAGTTCAGGAAAATGGAATTCATTTTGGATATCACAAATCATGATTGGCTGCAACGATATGGTAGGAACAGATTTTTCATGAATAAGCGTTACCAGTGACTTGTAACTATGTTTATATGTGTATTTAATCCACCCGCACCATTATAAAAAACAGTTACAAAAATGCTTTTAGCAATATTACTTAAAGTGCGTATAGCATTTTTTTCTTAAACATTCTCAATTGAAGATTTAAAACGATAAGGCACGGCGTTGAACCACTGAGGGAGTTGATAATGCGCCGTTGTCGTTGTTGTCACGGTTGTTATGATATATAGCATATGTATTTATGTGTTGTTTTGAAATTATGCTCCCCACTATTTACATCAATGTGTTTCTACTAATCTTTACTGCGTTACCGTCTACAAGTCGAATTTCATCTCAGATTGCTTCAAAAGTCTTCATCGCTTATGTTTCTCTTCCCGTTAGAATTGAGTCGATTCAGTGCATAGTACATGGGAAAACATGATTAATAACAGGGATCGTGAATCAACTGGAAAACACACGAAAGTTAATTTCCAGCGTAAATCCATCGGTCCTTTTCAACCACGTATACCGAAGGGCTGGATCGATCACACGAGTTCCAAATCGCTGTCAAAATCAGCTGTGAGCAGAACTGATCCATTCGCGATTGTTTATACAGATCGGAATACTGTTTCTACAATTACAACACTGCAATTATTGCTCATTTGTCACGTGATATATCATAACTTTCTGATGATTTTGAACCAAACATACACAAAACAGTACTTACACAGAAATTAAATAAAAACACCAAGTTACAAAGAATAAACCCATTTCTCCGAAATTATGCTGAACTTCTGAGATATTTTAATAAAGGCTTTGAGAAGCTGAGCTGGTGTGGCATTTCCGATGATGGTTATATTAAACTGAGCAGCTTCGTGATCTGACGAAGTCTAAAAAATGTCGCTGTTTAACGTAGAAGATGTACTAGTATATATGCACACACATCATTTTTATTTAATTAAGTATGTTTCCTTTTTCCGCAGAAAAACAAACACAGTCGTAATCACTAGTCTAATTGGTCCATCCTTATTGATATCTTACGACTAATAGATGTAAAATACCAAAGTGTATGAAAGATGTAATAAATAGCCCCTCCTAACACCCAAATGTAAGTACCACGCCTACGCATAGGGCGAATTATACAAGACCGTCGTCACCAACACGTGTTCGGTCGGGAGGTAATTAGGAAAAAACATACACAGTTTAAGTAATAGTAATTTGATGTTCGCAACAGCTTAAATATTGAACAAGTATACGGTCTACGCCCTTACATTGCAGTCAGTTAACAAATGCACTTAGAATAACTGGTGGCTAGAAGATATCTCAAATTCTAAAATATGCATCTTTTGTATGACATTGAAGTGAGGAAGCATAGATACTTGATTCCAAATCTGATGACTAACGATAATAATATGCCCACGAAAGCAGGGTGCATGTTTCCTATTTAAAGAGTAAGGGCGGGCGTACCCATATTGTACCAAACTGACCAGTACGTTATAAGAATTCGCGGAAATCTTTACTAACTACGCCATGAATATGTGCGTTCTCGGTAAGCACCGGGATAGGCCTCATACCCGCCACACCACGCTAAATTCCCTACCCACCACACCACAGTAGACTCCATACTTGTCCGATACACCTCAGCAGGCGCCATAAACGCCACATCACTGCGGGCATTATAGTACCCATCACAATATGGTAAACTCCATACCCACCACACCAAAAAAAGCTCCATACCCGCCACACCAAGGCAGGCCTTATACCCGCCACACCATGGGGTAAACTCCATACCCGCCACACCAAGGCAGGCCTTATACCCGCCACACCATGGGGTAAACTCCATACCCGCCACACCAAGGCAGGCCTTATACCCGCCACACCATGGGGTAAACTCCATACCCACCACACCACAAAAAGCTCCATACCCGCCACACTAGTGTAGGCACCGTACCCGCCACCCAAAGAAGGCTCCATGCCCACCACACCAGGGAAGGATTTATTCCCACCACTCCAAGGTAGGCTTTATACCCAACATACCACAGCTGCATACTCACATCGGCGCAAAAAATATACCATGAAATGAAACAATTAAGTCAAAAAATAAAAATTTGACCGTTGCATAATTCTGAGAGCCGTCATCAAGGTGCATACGCAAGATTAATGATGGCCGTTGTGTCTGGCTCAGTCTTTCAAAAGCTCACATTTAGATGCGATATTAAGACTAGTATTAGTAGGGGACAGTTTAGCTCTTCTCCTAATGATTTAACGGAAAATAACCGTTGTTTTAATAGAAATAAGCAGAGTGATTATAATTGTTTTTGGTCGGGGTTTAATGGCAATACACATATAGCATATTTCTGACTAAACTAATACAATTCCGCGCAGACGACAAGCTAGAATAATGACAGGAGAGATGCACAGTAATATTGCAAACAAAATGCAATTCAATTTATACGAATTCGCGCCGTTTATTTTCAATATAATAATATTTGTTAAAATAATATCAAACATACTGACATGATTGTAACCACCTTCTCACACAATGGTAACGCCGTTCTAATATTTTGCCGTACTCGTTGAATCAAAACACGCAATTCAATCTGTATTGTTGTATTATACATATAATCTGCAGTGTGTCACATGCCCCCCCCCTCTCTAGCACCCACCTCCTCCGACACTCTCCCCCCCCCTTATATTAAGGTACCGTCCGCCGTTGCGGCGAATTATTGTATTGTGCTCCCAATCATCGAACAATGCTATCTTAAGTTGAAGGAGAAATGTTTCATTGTTTTGGGGGCTTGAAGAGAAGCTCTGGTCTCTTCGCGATGGGAAATGTCAGCGGGTACTTTACGACGTTAGCTGTGATGCTAAAGAAATGGACTTCTTAATCCCCCTCTGCCAGTGTGCAGTTAAAATGTCCAACATTAAGGAATTACGCTCGATGGAATGGAAACGATTTGCAAATTTCACCGTTTTGACAGTTCGATGATTTGTAGGTGGGTAAATCGATGAGTTGGTCAGAACAAAACAGAAACGGTATTAAAGTCAAACTACTCGTCAATTAGGGTAGTGTTCTTTGCAAGGGAAGTGAGATTCAGATCTTACTAATGGTACAGTAAGCACACATTTTATAGGTATTCTAGTATTATTCGTCCATTTTCTGTGACACACTGCAATATTATAATTCATTATGTACTTTCTCTAAACAACACCGTGACTCTTACGAAGTTTCACTACACATTGTCTTCTTAGCAAGTAAAGGAGATGACTCCAAATATGCTAACATTCAAACACACACAAGACGTGTGCATCTTCATAATCAGATATTACAAACCGTAATTACAGTACAATTACTCTGACCGCTATGTATGTTGCGTTCCCGCACAG